AGATCAAAGTATTTTCAGTTTATCAAAGTTTAATCTTTGGAATTATCATATTGTTGGTTTTTTTTCCTTTTTCTTGTAATCATTGTTTGGCAAGTTGAAACACTCAACAACCAATATTGGATCAAATTACATTTACCATATTTAAGATTTATTTTGTTAAAATATTTAAGTGTTTAAATCTTATAAATTGTCCTAAACATTTTGGTTTATGAATAAAAAAAAAAATTTATAATATAATTTACCACCATTTAACATTTTGAAATAATTGTGTATTGTCATGGTTAAGTGTTGAAAAATTCAATTTTTGGCCAAATTTTCTGGCCTTTTTGACTGTGAGAATTTCATGTTTACTTTGTACCAATGGTCTTCAGAAAGGCATGAATACTTCTCTTTCCCTCATTCAGATAAGAGGTTTTGAGAGAAGATTAGACTGGATTCTCTTGCATTTGGTGGTCAACAGTCTGAGAAAAATGACAAGTTTGTTTTTTTTTTTCTGGTAATGATTTTTTTTGTAAACTCTTAACTCTGGAATGACTTTTTTTCAAAAATATAGAGGAAGAAAACCTAAGATGGAGGTTCATCAAGTTTTTTTAAGATCATTGATTAATATTTTAAATTTGTCATTTTTTTCAGGTTAAATTATACCTGATTTAAAATCAATCATTTTTTTACTTTTAAAATGTTTTTTCTCTTTGTTTTTAGCCATAACTATTTCGGCTAGAATATATATATATATATATATATATATTTGGATCTATATATTTTTTTTTTTTCTAATGGATATTCCTCCGACTTAATAGTTTTTGTTTTTGGAAAACATCTTTCTGTATTCTAAATGGATTGATAATTATTTTAAATTTTTTAATGAATATTGTCATTTGAATAAGGTTTAATTAAACCCGGAAACGTTAGACGCTCTTGTATTTCCAACATTTTAAACAACATAATTGCACAGGAGGTTTTTTTTTGGAGCGTCCAAACCTTTTTTTATTGTAATGTGTGTTCCCAGGTCTGTCCTGTATAAATAATTCAAATGATAAATAAGTCAACTGGATAAATAGTTATATTCCCCTCAAACAGTAATTAAAAAAATACCCTGTTTATAGATATTTTTTAAAGGTTACTGAAATACTTTGTAAAAAAACCTACATTTTACAATTGCATGGTACTTAAGGAGATTACCATAACGATACATTTTAAAAAAAAAAAAAAAATATGTTTCTATATTTTTGTAAAAATATTAGCATTTAGAAAAAATTACAAAAAGATTAAATTCTTGTTGCTTGAGGTTGAATTTATTTTCATGCAAACCATTCTTGAAGTGTTCAAATAATCTTCTTTTGATAACTTTTCGTGCAATCAAAGATGTTTAACAGATTAGGTTACCGTTACTTTTGGAACCACTGTATATGCAAAAGATAAATGTTCAAAACTGCCAACTTCTTCAATTTTCATTTTTGCTTCCCAAAAAACATGTTTCTTACATTTATCTGCCCATCATTCACGTTTTCTCTATCAAATACTGATACATTCATGAAATCATGAATTCAGCCAGAACTTCAAGTGATTTGAAACAGAAGTAGCTTCAAAGTAGATTTTAATAATAATAATAATGCATAAACCAACAACAATAATAATAACAGAATGTAAAATCAATAATAATATGTTTTCTTTATTGGTTTGCTATTAATCTCCTTTATATTATTGCTTTGGTATCTTCAGGTAATCTGATTCTTTCTCTGGGAATCGAGGAAATATATCAATTTTTATTAATTGTTTTATGTATGTGTTTTCTTAAAATGGACAAATTGAAATTATAATGATGAATAAACCTATTGAATTCTGTTTGTAAAACTGATGTGATTTATTGTCCTGAGTGTGGGAAAGACAAACATTATTGATTCCATTTGGGCTGAAAATTAATTACAGTATTTTAATTTCATCAAGTTCTGATTCATGGAGATTGGACAAATCAAAAATCTCCTTATTTGTCTGAGGAAAAAGTTTTTGGAGGGCACGTTCCAAACAGGATCAAATTTATTTTTTGTATGCAAAGCTTTTCTAGATGATTATTAATGAAAAGCATAGAATAAGCAATAAAACATATCCCTATTTAAAGACTCTGAAAATAAATTATTTGGCTGATTTTAAAATATGTTTTTACATTACATTAAAAGAAAATTTCTTCCTTTTGATCCAACTTTTGATCCAAAATTTTTAATACAAAGATTTTAAAAAGTCATGGTTTATTGTTCCAACCATTTGATTCATGTTTTGATCCAACCTTTTCATCAAACCTTTGATCTAACTTTAAAATCAGGTCCAGTATTTTTTCAAAATTGATCAAACCTTTTTATTTAACCTTTTCACTATTTTTACATTCAAACCATAGAAAAGACAATAGGAAATTTCTACTCCTCAAATTCCTTAGAGGAATTATGAGAATACACAGTTTATGCATATTTAAAAAGGTAATAATTTTGATGAATCCAAAATATGAATCTAATGTGTGATATAGTAATATATATAAGACCTTCATTTAATTCCTTAGTTTTTAAATGAAATTAATGAATTTGTGAAAAACTAATTTTTTTCTTTTTTTTTTAATTTTTTTTATATTAATGACTTCAAGAAACTTTTAATAAGCCCAACCTTTTAAATCCAACTACAAATTCTCCTGAAAGGGTGTGAATTGGTCATTCCTCCCTCAGTTATGGGTAGACTAGTTTTAGAGGTTCAGTGGGCAGCCTTTTGGAGAAGGACCCTATGCTCTATTAAAACCCATGGAGAAATCAACAAGAGACTTTTAACTGCTGATAGCCAGATGTCATGATAGTTTACATATAATGAAACTAAAAAATCTCTGGAGTCTGTGAATGACTTCGACCCAGAGGAACATAGTAGTTAAAAAGTGGAATCAAGCAAAAGCATATTTTGATGCTATTTTTTCTGAATTTTTCTGATTTAAAGTTTCTTTGCATGGCAATATATCCAAAGTGGTGACAACATGGCACTATTTATCTGGGTGGAGGGCTTTTTTTGTTATTTTTTAACAATACCCTTGTCCACAAATGAAGGCTAGTCTTCAAACTGGAGGACATCGATTTTAGTCTAACCTGGAGAATATATGGGGGTATATGAATTTAAGTTAAAGGAGTATCATGATGATAATTTTGATAGTGTTATGATGAAATGATAATGATGACAATGATGATGATGCAATTACAACAATGATGAATTTAGATGATGATGATGATAACAATACAATGACAATGATGATGATGCAGATGATGATAATGATGATGATGATGAACTAGAAATAATGATGAACAATAATGATGCAGATGATGATGAGGATGATGATGATGACAATACAATGACAACAATGATGATGCAGATGATTATGATGATGATGATAATGATGACAATGAATGATGATGATGATGATACATAATAACATGATGATGATGCAGATGATGATGATAATGATGATGATGATAATAGATGATGATGATGATGAGATGATGATGATGATGATGATGATATAATGACAAAATAATGATGATGCAGATGATGATGATGATGATGATAATGACAAATAATGATAATGACAATGATGATGATAATGATGATGATGATGATGAAGACAATGATGATGATAACTACAATGAATGATGATGATGATGATGATGATGATGATGATGATAACTATAAATGATGATGAAATGACATGATAATGATGATGATAATAACTAGAAATGATGATAAAGACATAATAATGATGATGATAACTACAAATAATGATGATAAAGACATGATGATGATGATAATAACTACAAATGATGATGATAACTACAAATGATGATAAAGACATAATAATGATGATGATAATAACTACAAATAATGATGATAAAGACATGATGATGATGATAACTACAAATAATGATGATAAAGACAAATAATGATGATAAAGACATAATGAGGATAATAACTAGAAATTACCAAGCACACATACTAAAAAATTGTGTTACCCCAAAATGCAGATTCTTTGATAAATATCCAGAAACAATTGACCATCTTGTATCAGGTTGCACGGTATTGGCACCCACTGTATATAAAACAGTGCATGACATAGTCGACCTATATCTGAACTGGAAATCTGCAAGTTTTATGGAAAGAAAACTGCAAGAAATTGGTATGAACTCTACTCAGACCTGATTGCAGAGATAGGACCTGTAACTATTTTATGGGATTTTACAATATACACAGATAGAGTAATCAAAATTAATCACTCAGACATTGGGATTAGAGACCACAAAGACAAAATATGTCTTCCAGTTGACATGGCAGTCTGCAGGGACTGCCATATATCTTTGAAGATCCTCAAAAAGCTATGAAAATCTCAACAAATGAGGACATTAACTATTCCAGTTGTGGTTGGAGCCCTCGGATTGATTGAAAAAGATTCTGATAAACTCATTGAAGGATTCCTGGGAGCAGATGCCTTCAAGGAAATACAAAATATTGTTTTCACAAGTACAGCCCACACCTTATGAAGGGCTTTATCTGTGTAAAATATGTGATATTTTTTTTTTTTCCTCAAATAATTCTCAGTGGAAAATGTCATGATGCCATTTCTGAACTTAGGTCTCTCTAGGGACCCAGAAAGAAATGAGTACACACCAGAAATCAAAAGAAATGAGGTTAATAATAATAATGATAATTTTCCTTTGCAGAATTTTTCTGTCTGGATTAAAAAAAAAAATGTAGTCTTGGCAACAGGCATAATTTACAGCTATTGAAACGATTCAACAATTAACGACAGCGTGTACTTGTAGACTCGATGATCTTGACTAAGGTGTATTTTGGATGGGTGGGGAAAAGGTGTGTATTATATGCTATCAAACACAGTAATCTAGTAATTATTGACATTATATTTAATTTTTTTTTCTCTCGGTTCCCAACTGAGCTGTATTCTGGGGGTAAAAAAAGTGTTGTATATGCAATTATCTAGTAATTATTCACTTTATTTCATATTTTTTTCTCTCTCTCTCACAGGTCTCTTACGTGGTTCTGTTCGTGGTCGTTCCCGTAAAGTGAAATCTCAGATCTGTGATGATGTTATTCGAAGGCCAGCATCTGGGAATCGGCGTTCTCTTAACTCTGTCCTTCCCAACATTCCACCGTCAATGAGTGACAAAGGCGAGATGGAGAAAGGAATGGAAACGTTTGAATCAATGAGGAGTGGCTCAGCCCGTGTCGATATGTGGCCAGCCAGTGAGGAGCATTCGTTTGATGACAGTGAAGAATGGGCTAAGGTAAGGTCTTGCTGGAAACTCAATTTCACATCATAGATGCATGCTATATATATATATATATATATAATGTCAGAATTATGTATATAAAATATCTGTGTGTATAATCATTTTGTTTTTTTTTTTGCCCATGAAGATATATGTATAAATATGATATGGCTGTATTAACAAATGTATAAAATTTTATATATATATATATATAATTTTATATGAATTCGTGTATTTTATATATATATATATATATATTCAGTCTTTTATAAAAAAATTATATATATATATATATATATATACACACACATTCGATTTATATATATTTGTATATGCACACACATATGAAAATTACAAATTTATATACATATATATGAAAAAATTTTCAGAGTTGTAAAAAATGACAATATGTATAAAGGTAAAAGACATTAGGAAAACTGTATTATTAGCCATTGTATTTCATGCAATTTGTACTTTCTCAAGGCAAAAACGAAATGAATTTATTGAAAACAAAATAACTATTAACAACAAACAAAATGTCCTTAGCAACTACAACAACTTAGAAACTCTATTGTATTCATATTGGCGTAATTTTCAGTTGACAATATGAATACAACAGCATTTTCTAAATTCTATTTGCTAATGACATTTTGTTTGTTGTTAATAGTGACTTTGTTTATAATACATTCATTTTTGCCTTGAAAAAATCCATATTGAATGAAATGTGTTGGCTAATAATACAGTTTTCCTACTGTCTTACCTTTATTTATTTATATATATATATATATATATATATATAATTTTAGTTGATACTTGTATTTGAGTAGCTGTTCTGTTTATTTATTAAACAGTATATTTATTTGTTTTTGTATCCCGGCCTGAATATTCGTAAAATCTTATTTAATAAAAATTTTCGCACTTCGGCAGGTTTAATAAGATTTCTTGAGCATTCAGTATGGTAGATTAAAATAAATATACCGTATATTAAATAAAGTAAGTGACTACACAAATACGAATATCCACTGATAATAACATTTAAAGTGATAAAAATCTGTCCGATTAATAAAAAAAATCCATTCTAAAATACATGTGTGTAAAATTGTGTGTCTGTAGTTTATATATATATATATATATATATACACACACATACATACATTTCATTGAATAATATAGACATATTATATCTACTTATTTTTATACTAATCCGTTTCAGTTGTCTAATCAGTTTCTTGATGTTAAGATGAAATTCATCAAGTAAGGCACCATCATAGTTTTTGTTAACCCAAGTACTTCCACTCTTTTTTAAGATCATCTTCATGATTGGAATTTTAAACTGAACCTTTTATTTTATTCACTGAGGTAGGTTGTTCTAAATAAAGGGTTCAGTTCAAAATTCCAGTCACCTGAAGAAGGACGGAGAGTACAACAGCCGAGAAGTCATGAAACTGATTAGACAATCGGAAAGGATCAGTATAAAAATAAGTAGGCACAATATGTCCATATTATTCAATCAAACATGTTTGACTGAAGATATACTGCCTAATTACACACACACACACACACACACACATATATATATATAATAGAGGCAATAAGGTAATTATACAGTTATTTATAATAAAGAGCAAATCATTGGAGCAGGAGACTTGCTGCTAAAAAAGTATCGGTAATGAATTTACTATTGTTTGCCACAGCATTTTATTGTTATTAAACAGAATTAACCAGAACCATTTTGATAATAAATTTCTGGACTGTTGATTAATTGCTTTGTCTTAATTTTTTTTATAAGTAACTGTATACTGACTTTATTGCCCCTCTGAGTGAAAATATATATATATATATATATATATATATATATATATATATATATAATTTTTTTTTTTTTTTTACTTTTGAATGTCTCTGCTTTCATGGAATCAAATTTACTCTTCTTGATATTGAATTCTTCTTTTGGTTTATTTTCAATATTAACTATAAACATTATTTCTAGTGGTTACATATATTTGAGTTGCTCCCCTGTTTTTTTTTTTATTTTGTTAAACAGTGACATTAATAGCAACTGTGTACCTACTAATAATAATGTTTATAGATATAAGAAATAATGTCAGATCCAAAAATACATCTGAAAATTATTCTATCTATCTATCTATCTATCCTGGTCTCATCTGTTACTTTTGTTGTATGAGGGTCCAACAGCTCAGTTCTTACAACTAAACAACCAGAAAATTTACTGATGTAATAGAATAACCTGTCACTCCCACTATAGGTAGTAACTACCTATAAGTAGCTGTAAGTCAACAGACTACAGAGACTAGCTGGGATCTGTTGAGTATGACTCAGACTTATACGAGAACTACCAACCTTCCAATAGTTACACTCACTACTGGATTGACTTGAGATGACCTTGTGCATAACTGTTACTTTTATTCTTATGGTACTGGTTTTGTACAATACACCTGTATTTATTTTATCCACCATGTTTTTCAAGTATATATTCCTATTAACATGGAATATAGCACATTTCATTATCCTGGTGAAGGCTTGTGCAAAACCAGTCACATTTTTTCGAAGAACCAAGTACAGAGAGTTTGCCACAATGTCTCCAAACAACCCTCCTTGGGTTTTGAATTCAGAGTTGTCTTTCTCCTAGACTGGTTGCCATCAAAGGCTCAGTCTGTCCAGCTATCTACCCATAGCTGAGGGAGGAAGAGATGTATTTATGCTTTTCCTAAAGTTATTTGCTCATAAGTAATGTAACAAATTCAACTGGAATTTGAACTTGGCTCTCTGATTTCTTATTCCAAGCTGCTATTTATTACACCACCCACACATCCACACTATACATATATGTATATAAATAAGATATATCTATAAAAAGAGAATATGAATAAAGACAAAAGGAATAATTTTCTTTGTTTTTTTTTATTTATATACATTTTGGAAATATTTTTTTCTTTTTTTTTTTATAGAAAATAACTTACTTAAATGGAAAGTTCTTGAGAGTACAACTATTGTTCTTGCCAAAATGTTAACTTACACCCTGAATTTTTCCAAATATTTCCTTTCTTAAAGGAAATACTCTTTTCTGAAGCCAACATATATAATTATAATAATTATTATATATATATATATATATATATATATATATATATATATATATATATATATATATGGAAATAAAAAAAAACAATAACAAGAGTTACTCACTTTCGTTTGTTAGGCATTAAATTACATCACTTAACATTCTCCATAGTTTACTTTTACTTAAAGTGTAAATTTTAAATTTGAAAAACACTCCAGCTTACTTCTCTTTATAAGTACTTGTTGCAAAATAAAATCCTTATATTTAACTTCATCGGAAGACAAAAAATTTGGTAAAGAAAAAACTTCCTTTTTCTCTCGTATATATAATATACTATTTATATGGAATCTATGTGCTAATATCCGAGATAGAACTAACATATGTGGTTGCATGGAGATTTGTTTGTGATATTAGATTTCACACTTTGTCTGAAGATCACAAAAGTATGAAACTATACATACATATATGTATATATAAAATCAACAACCAAACCAATAAACTAAGAAAAAACTCTACTCTCTATGTACTAATAGCAAGTGGAAATATGGAAGACCAGATTTAATAAAGAATCTATCAGATATAAAGCTATCCAATACTGAACTGGAAGCACTTGGCTTCAGTTTGAAATTCACTCATGGGATTTGTAAAGGAGATCGAGTTGACATAATAGTAAAAAATATCATCTTCAAAATAATATTGAATTCATAAAGGCTTCAGTCATTAAATAATCCCTTTTTTATACAAAAAAAAAAAAAAAATGATGAAAGATCTTTACCACAGAGACACTTAAATGCACTAAGGAACCTAGCAAAAAAAAACAAAACAAAATCCTTATTTTATCTCCATGGACAAGAGAGGTGGGATTGTCATGATGACTAAGAACTGATATGCTGAAAAAAATGAATCCATTACTAAACGATACCAGCACATATATGAAAAAATAAAGAAACGGAAAATAATTATTGAAACAAAAATTTAACAAAGCAATTACAAAACTCATTAAAAATGAAGACAAATCATGATAGAGACTAATAGAACACCTAAAAACCCATGTATGTAAATTATATATATATATTATTTATATATATGTGCAGTACTTATTGGAAAGCACTCAATATCAGTAATAGAGGTAAGATATTTAGTTGGATTGATGTGAGCTTATGACCCTGGGTTTCACGCTATTTGTGATCATCAGACAAATGCAAACCCAGGGTCATTCCTCATATCAATTTAACTAAAATATATATATATATATATATATATACAACCAACTCTCCCATTGAATTCAACATACGAGGGTCAAGCAGATCAGTTCCCAGGAAACTGACAGCCTGACAACAGCACATGAGATTTGATTATAGTGGTGGAGGTTTCATGCGGGACCATCCACACTTTTTGAAGGGTCAAATACAGAGACCGAGTGCACTACATGCCATAAGGCCCCCAAACGACCCTCTGCAGGTTTTGAATTCAGAGTTGTCCTTCTCCTAGACCAGTTGCCATCCAAGGCTATAGAACCCAGTCTGTTCTGCTATTTACCCATAGCTGGAGGGAGAAGAAGAGGATTCACACCTTTCCCAAGGGTATTAGCACATAATTGAATGTAATGGATTCGGCTGAAATTCGAACTCGGCTCTCTGATTCCTCAATCCAAGCGACTATCCATTATTGCTTCCTCCAATATATATATATATATATATATATTCAAAATTGCTATCCAATTGCAGCCAAGTTTCAATACATATCAATGTATCTCATTAAGTGATTGTAAATTAGATTTAAAAGCAAAATACAACCTTTTTACCCAAAAAAAAAAAAAAAAATTTAAGGATTATTATTTCATTCGTCGACAGCTGGGATAGGATGCTTCGTAATTTGCATATCAATATACTCTTATAAAAATATCCAAAATGGACTTGTTTTCTTTTTACAA